GACTACAATTGATGCGTTTGAGCCAAGCATTGAAGGAAAAACGGCCGCTATATGAGCAGAGACACGACAAAGTGATTTTGCAACATGACAATGCTCGGCCACATGTTGCACAACCGGTGAAAACGTACTTGGAAACGCTTAAATGGGAAGTCCTACCCCACCCGCCATATTCACCAGACATCGCCCCTTCCGATTATCACTTGTTCCGATCGATGTCACGTGGCCTGGCTGAGCAGCACTTTCGTTCTTATGAAGATGCCAAAAAATGGGTTGATTCTTGGATAGCCTCAAAAAACGTGTCGTTTTTCCAACATGGAATTCAAATGCTGCTAGAATGATAGGAGAAAGTAGTGGCTAGCGACGGACAATACTTTCAGTGACGTGTTTATTACGACTTTTTTTTTAAATAAAGTGTTAATTTTCACAAAAAAACAGCGAGAACTTATTCAAGGTCCTTATATGTACAGTACAAGTAATATTGTAGATAAAAATAGAGTATGCCAATAATTTGATACACCAATATTTTCTTTATAAATGTATTAAATTATTTCAAATTTTTATGTTTGGAATATAAATAAAATTTAAAAATTGTATTTAATAAATCATATTTTATCTCTGCTTTGTTTGGAAGTACTATTAAATATATTAGGGTCTTTTTTAGTTTGACAAGTCATTGCACATTATTTCTCAGTATCATACTGCACACATTGGCATTAAATTTAGTAAACAACAAATTGAATGACATCCTTGTTTATTTCACATTTAATGGTCACCCATGTTGATTTTGATCATATCTGTGTTTGATCCAATTATTTCATCTATATATATAAAAATGGACGTGTGTGTCCCTATATTTCACTTTTTAACCAAAACTACACATCGCACATGAATGGTGTTTGTATGTGGTAGTAGCCCCAAGTCTCCATTCGTGCACTATGGTGGTTGCATCTCAATAGCTATAAGNGTGAGTTAGTTCTCTTTCTTTTATTTTTAAGTTTCTAAGGTGAGTGGTGAGGAAACCTTCATCCTAACAAAACATAAGCCCCAAACAAAAATAGAATAAAAAGCAAAATAAAAAATAACTAAAAATAATGCTCGGACTTGATTCCTTACATATTTCATAACTTAAAATGATAATTTATTTTTTGTTTACCAATTTTGTAAAAATACAGTTTTTATACAATGTATTAAAAAATATAATAATAACAATAACAATATAAATATATGTATATAAATTAAGTTGATAGGATAATTTATAAAATTATTTACTTTGTAATAAAGGAATTCAAAATTTTCTTTTTCAGGAGGATTATTTTCCTAAAGCTGTTGCTGAAATGACAGGACTGAGATGGCTAAAATTGAATAGAACTAATATAGATTGGATACCAGAGGAATTATCTAGTCTCCAAAAATTGGTATAATTTTGAATTTATATTTATAATTATTTTTCATATTATTTTTTATAACATATTTTAAAGTAATTTTATCAAAAATGTTTTAAATGAAAGCTGCAATAATATAATTTAGTAATTTCAGCAAAGAATTATATTAGAACATTAAATTATTAATTATCTGTTAAAATTAAAGTGATCCATTTATGAAGATAACAGAGTTTGTTCTTATTTGTTGTAAAATTTTGTTAGGTCACTGTGAAGATTATTGTTATACATAAAATAAAACATTTTATTCATTCTCAGGCTGTTTAGTTGACTTAACTCTTTAATGGTCAATAACTATATTGTATAGATATTTTGAACTAATTCTGTGTTGATATGATAATTATTTCCTTAACTTTTTAGGTTTTAGTAACATATAACAAAAATAAAAGGAAAAAAGAGTACTTAATATAGATATTATTGACTTTGATTTATCTAATATTGAAAACTAATATTTTATATGAAAACTTTTGACCAGTTTCATCTTGCTATTACTTTCCCAGCTGTTATGAATGTATAACAAGGGAAAGTATTGGAATTGTGTCAAATTTGACTTTCTGAGTTTTTTGCAAATCTCCACATTTTGAGATCTCCTGAATCCAAAAATGGTAAAAACATTCCATGGATGTGTGTGTTGATGTCTATTTTGCTTAATATCTCAGGATAGAGTAAAGATTAAGAAACAAAATTTGGCATGATGGCTTGTATATGAGGGGCATTGATGGTAAATTTTGGTGGCAAAAGCTCGTGTGGGGTGATAGAGGGGGTCATATATCTTGAGAGGGAGATTATTCATTATGAACATTTAAACTTTTTTATAAAACTCATCCCATGCACTCATGAAACAACCTTATATCTCAAAAACTAAGTCATAGACCCCCCCATTTATATTGCAATTAATGGAAAATGGCAAAGTTTAATCAGTCTATTGTATGGATTTTGAGAACAAACACAATTCTATAAGCCTCATAGAAGAAGCTTTGCTAACGCTTCACTTCAATTAACAGTTACTATATTAAAAAAAATTTTAATTTTTAAAGATAGACAAGAACAAATAAATGAAAATATCAGATTTTATGAAAAAACATAGAGAAGGATCAAGATATTGATAATTGAAATTAAGATCAAAGCTCAGATGATGACAACACTGTATTTTCCTGAAAATAAGACCTAACCAGAAAATAAGACCTACCATGATTTTTTAGGGTGTTCATAATATAAACCCTACCCCTAAAATAAGTTAAAATCACCAGATGGTCATATTTAATATGTCTGTTGGAACCCATGATGGATGTATTAAATTATAAAATAGTAATAATAATAATAATAATAATATGTAATTAAATATAAATAAATATTATTGACATTAATACTTAATTATAATTTATATTATCATTTATTTTAAATATTTGTAAATACCCAAATGAGTATCTTTGGATAAGACATCTCCTGAAAATAAAACATATTAATTTTTGCTCCAAAAGACACATTAAGACCTAGTCTCATTTTTGGGGAAACAAGGTATTTTTCCAAAAAGAAAATGTCCTTGTTTAACAGTGTTTAGTAGTGAAGAAAAAATTAATATTAACATGCAATACTTTTGATTGTGATTGTTAATTATTTATTGCTTTAATGACATATTTCTCTTAATTGCATAAAAATATAGTATACTTTTGCTAATTTTTGGAACATAACCCTGTGCTTCGTACTAGTCATTTGTTTTGTATAGTACAGATTTATATAACACTGCATTTTTTTGGAATTTAGCTACCATGTTATATGTGGGATATCTCTATTATGTGTTTTGGCTATAAGCCTTCCTACAGTAAAAAATAAATATTATATATATCTCTGAGTATCATGTGAGAGTGGCTGAATTCTCAGGCTATAGATTGTATTTAGAGTAAATTTCAATATTAAATAGTTTTTGATTAATCTGTTATATTATAAGTTTATTGTAAGTATATGTTCATTTTCAATATATGCATTTTTGTGTTTTTATTTATAAGTATACTAGCTGTTACCCGCAACTTTGCTCGCAGTGGTTTTGCAAGCAAACCCCATTTGTATTCAGTATTTCAACAACCATAGTAATTGTTATATAACACCTACTGCTGAGAATAATGAGAATTGCTGAGAATCAAACAAACTGTTTTCAATTTGATCAATTTTCCGGAACATTTATAATCGTTCTATAATTGAACCAATATGCAATAACAAATTTGAATTTAAAATGGTTCACACATTTGGTTAAAAATCAAAATATATGAAAATATTTATAACAATATCTGAAATGTTATCAATTTAATACACCTAAGTACTCAATGAAGATTAAATGTAAAAACAAAAAATCGCATCTAAAATAGTACAGTAAAAGCCGTTTTTTCGGTTAAGCCTTAATGCACTCCCTCTCCCCTGCAGGGGAATTTCGAAAAATCCCTTCTTAGTGTGCATTTTCATGACGTACCCTAACCGTGTAACAAATTTTCCTTTTTAGGTTCAGCGGTTTGCTCTGGGCGATGATGAATCAGTGAGTCAGTCAGGACAAGTAATTTTATATATTTAGATTTATTACTTTTACTTAATATATCATTTTTCTGAGCAAAGCTAAGTATCTCAGTAAGTTAAAAATTGATTACAATTCCACACTAAAATATTATGTTAAATTTGTATTAAATATTACATTTAACTACAAAAAATTTTAATAATATCCAATAACATGGGTTTAAAAGTCAATTGCTCAGCTCTTATTTAATGTAAAGAATTACAATATATGCATATGATAAAAATTTCTGAGTACTCTTCTAAGAATTATTATGTAGAGAAGAGGAAATTACCAGAAAATTACTAAGTCAAGATATACATTCAAGTAGGAATGTTTAATACTACAAAGTGTAGATTGATGCTCAGAAAATTAGATGGAATAGAACTAAAGACATATGTCTTGCCTTTAGTTCTCTTCCATCCAATTTTCTAAGCATATGTGCTATTTGTAATTTCTGGAAAAAATAAAATTAAATGAAATGGTAGATGAATATGTCTGAAACACAAATGATTTTTCACATGTTTTGAAGATGCTCTTGGCAAGTTTATGCAAAGGAAAAATTGTTTGATGAATTCATAATTTTAAGTTTAGTAGATAACCCGCACATGACTTTTAAATTGATTTCTGAACAAAATAATCTACAGATTATCTCAGTGATTTTCAACAAGCATGCTATTGCTTGTTCATGTGTGTGCCACAAAAATTTTTGAAGGTTATTAAATAAATTATTTTTGAAAGAAGCCCAAAGAACAATAAGTGTACATGTCAAAATTAAAACCTCTAAATTGATTATACGAGTTTTTCATTGTTATAATAAATAAATGTATACATAATGTAGTCAAAAGTATATGTTCATAAGCAAAATTACATGTGCATAACACTGAGTTATTTCATTTAAAATTAAATTTTCTTTAAATCAAAAATGTATCTATAATTGTCTATATTTATTTCAAATTGTTTTAATTTGGAAATAGCAGGACATTGAGCAGGCTTATAAAGGAAATTATCATGCTACTTTTAAATGCAAATTAAGACTTAATGTTGTTTGCTCTTCTTATGTAAAGAAAATTAACTATTGTTTAAATAACTATTGGGTAACCTGTTGCTATTTTAAGGAACAACAATACTGTTTTATTTAATTTACAAAAAAATATAGACAAAAAGAATTAGGTTAAGTGGCAAGTAATATAGTGATAGAATGTTTACAAACAACTTTAAATCATGTGACTTTTTCCACAGAAATTTAATTATAGGTTCAGGTGTGCTATGAGATAAAGAAAGGTTGAAAAACATTGGATTATCTGCATGAAATTACATTACTATAAATAAATTTGAGTGATCTAGATATTTAGGAAAAACTTTAAAACTGTTGAACTTTTAATTAAAAGTTAGAAATTTTGTTCATTATTTTATACATTTTTTAAAAGTAAATTTTGAACATTAAGATTTACAGATAATTAGATGGAATTCAATAGTTTCAGGTTTTTAATACATTGATCAACAACAAAAATCTTGTATTTGTCTAACATTTAGGAGATTTAGCTTGTATTGTTATCCTTGTACTGTCTAATTTTTAAGTTTCAGAGAATAGCAAATTTTAATTATTACTGAAATTTGCTTATATTTTATTTTTTCCTCTTTCACAGCATTAATAAATTGTTTAAAATTTTAAAAACTCAATTTTTTCATCTTAATCACTGTTAATACTAAATTATAATAATTTAGATTCATTGCTTATAGAATCAAAAATATTTAATTTCAGAAAATTGGTAATCCGTTAAATCAGGTTTATCATAAAAATGAATTTAAATTATTATTGATGAGAAATCATTACATGATGTATCATCAATATAATGATTTCTTTATTTTTATAGCAAATTAAAGTAGGCAAATTTAATTTACAGGAGACACTATCTTTAGTGAGGAATAATTTAGTAACTATTCATGGAGAAGTTTCAACTTTGCCATGTCTACGATATTTCAACTGTCGGCATAATAAACTTAAAAATTGTGGAATTCCGTCTGACATATTTGATTTGGAAGATTTAGCAGTTATTGTAAGTATTACATAGTTAATTTAGAAGTCTTACAGAATATAGTTTATTTATGATAAATTATTAAATTTGAAAAATCTGTTGTACATTATATAAGTGTTTGATTATTTTTAAAATTATTAAATCAATAGATATATTTCTTTATTAATATTTTTGTAGAAATATATATATTTTTTAGCATTAAAATTTGTAATTTAAAAAATAAATATCTTTAATAGTGTGTAATATCTTTAATAGTAGTCAAAATTATTTATCGAAAATATAATAGTAATAAAAACATGATTTTAATCTGACTATATGCTGATCAAACAATTCCCAATTTGCTGAGAATAATCATGACTATTGACAAGATTTTTCTATTATCCATTTCTGAAGTTTCTAGTATGTTAGTTTTATGTAAAAAAGTGTCCTAATTAATGCAATGAAGACTGTATGAAATTAGGTTGGAGTAATATGCTTTATATACTGAATGTTACAAAGATTTTCTATATAGGTATATTCTGGTTTCAGTTTTTTGTTTTGAAAAATTATATTAATATTGATAAAATTAATGTATAAGTACTTTGATTGTTTTTTATTTAAATACTGCAAGAATTATTGTTGCATTGTTTGAAGAAGCTATGTCCAGGCTTTTTCTTGAAAGATTAATGTATTGATTTGATCATTGAACATCAATAACACCTATACCAAATTTTAATATTGGATTTTGTCTAATTTAGTGAGACTTGCAATAATGAATTTTTTCATGAAATTAAATATGGTGTTTATTAGTATAAGCTTATAGCAACTAATAATATTTAGTATACTAATTATAGAAATATTTGTTGTTTTGTATAATTTTGAAAAATTAATATTATACCCATATAAATATATACACATAGGATTTCAGCCACAACCAGTTACGTGATGTTCCACATGATTTAGATCATTCTAGAGGCTTACTTGTTCTCAATTTAAGTTATAACAAGTAAGTATTTAATAATTTTGGTATAAATTTAACAAAATTTTATTATTAAAAATTTTTAAAGTGTTGATTATTAAAAAAAAACTTGAAGTTTTCTTTATTACTTTGTTATTCAAAATTTTATTATAATCAATATAAAATTTAGATTAATTTTTGGAAAAATTTAAAAGTTTTAGTATTTAGACAAAACAGTTTAGTTTTAATTTATAAAATCTAGAAAAAATATGATGGGGAGCACAGTTTGTTAACTACAACTCATTTAAAGAAATATCAATTGTCAGCTATATTAGTCCAGTATTGGTGATCTGTCTTGTATAGATGTTCAAAGAATTTAGACACATTTAACCATATGATTATTTTTGCCATATTGATCAGTCGAATATTATATTTCCGTGAAAAATAACTGAAGTTTTATATCATATTACTGTATATATCAGATGTATAAGGACCTTGAATAAGTTCTCGCTGTTTTCCAACAGATGGCGTTACCAGAACCACGTGTGTTTATTTTTAGATGGTGACACATCTGTAAGGAAGTACAATAAGCGACCTTGAAATTCAGTATACGTCATTTCACCAAAGTGTAAACAACTTATTTTTTCATTGTGTTAAACATGTCTAGTTTCGTGCTAAAAAAAGAGTATTTGCGGGGAATTTTATTGCACTATTTTATTCAAAAAAAATCTGCAGCTGAAGCACACAGAATTCTTGTTGAGACTTACGGCGACCATGCTCTGTCGGAAACAACATGCAGAGATTGGTTTAGACGCTTCAAAAATAATGATTTTGATGTTGAAGATAAAGAAC